TTGTGTGTGTGTGTGTGTGTGTGTGTGTGTGTGTGTGTGTGTGTGTGTGTGTGTGTTTCAGTGGGAACAGGCTAAACTGAATGAAGATCAGTTACATTCCTCACATTTAATACAGATTCAGGAATGATTACCTGATAAAGCAGTAATCAGGGAGCAGGACACAAGGCACAGGAAAGCATCAAGTCCCAGGTCAGGTGACGATCCTGTTGACTGCAACTCAGCGCATAATCAATGTCACCATTATCAGGAAGGTGCTTCTCATTTTTTTAATTGTCCATCCTCATCTGCCTTCGCCCCTACTAAAGGAAAGAAAGCAGGGTGCTCTGCAGATACAATACGTGGGCTGTGTGTAAAATATGATGTTTTGCTCACGTTCATGTCACTTCAAGAAATCTGTTAAATGTTGTTGGAACTTTAATCAGAAAATTCCTAATAAATATTACTAAAGCAATATGCATGCACTTTTTAAGAATTTTGAAAAATGAATGGTTTATTGAAACACTTTAATAAGTTCAAGTTAATGTATCTTATTAGATATAATAATAATATTATAATAGGGAAACGTCAATCAGGCTACTGAGAAGTGCACATGCAGAACCAAAATGGGCATAAACCAATTGGTACACATTTTCAAAGTACAATTTTTAAATAAATGTACTAAAATAATAAAGGCCCAACCCCTAAACCAAGCCAAAACTCAATAATGTCTCAATGTCACCAGGCTATCTGGGAAATCATCTACATCTTGCACAGCATACAGGTGAGTAAGTTTTCAGAATTTTTTTGTCATTTTTGGGTGACCATTTTCTTTAAAAGGAACAGTTCGACCAAAACATATATATATATATATATATATATATATATATATACATACATATAGTGTGTCTCATATTTCATCTCAAAAATGCGATTGGGGGTGGTCATAATTTTTGAAAAATGTATGATTATTTTCACAATAATAAAAGTAATTTCTAAAATGATTTATGTTTGTTTCACTCTTGTTTAGATTATCAAATAAATCATATAGAATAATTAATATTTTATGATGGACTTTTATAGCAACTAATTGAAAATTTGGGACAAGAGTAAAATATATTTTAAGAGCATTTGAATGTAGCAAAAATAAGTGATAAAGACCCAGTAAGCAGTAATAAATATGTTTGACCTTCATATAATTTATCTATATAGATTATAAATAAGGTGACTCATTTTTAAATCTGTTCATTTTAACAATAATCAATCCTTGGAACATAAAAGTGCCTGAAGTTAAAGAAACACCCCTGTAGATTTTTGAAAATTGTTAGTAGATGAAACACACTAATGAGAGTTTGAAAAGTGTTTTTGGAGATTATTTTCCAAGAAACAAAATAAGCATTGTATCAGTCTCTTTCAGAGTGAGCTTAATTTTAAATGCAACATAATCTTATTTAATCCGCCAACAAACCTCTAATGCACATCATGCTTACACTGATTTCAACAGTTGCAGCTACTGAATGACAAAGTAAAGTCTACAGTATTTCACAATGATCCAAATAAAGGAAAACAGAGTGTTTGAGGATTTCTCAACCTATTTAAAGTGTTGAACGCTTGAAGCCACAGTTGCCAGCGGGGATTACGACATGTGACATGTTATTTGCCAAGAACGTTTAATCATACCTTTGCAGTTCTTTGAGGTGTCCTATTGGTTTAAATGGCATGTCCAACTGTGGCTTAAAGCCTTTCTGAAAGCGTTGAAATGCCAGTGAAACATCTTAAAATTCAACCACACATGACAAGCAGAAAACCAGTCCTGAGCTCTCTGTTGTTAATATCTGCATATGAGATATGCTATTAATACTGATGTGAATCTTCATTATATGCATTACATTAAATGCAATTACTGTCATTTATATCTGCAGCTGCTTTAATTTCCTTCTGTGCACATGTATGTATGTGTGGGTGTATGCCTGTGAGAATCATTTTAAAATAATATTTTGTAGAGTATATTACATAAACCCTTCTTCTAATCTGCCTTTGACCTAAAATCAGAAAGGGAAACATATGCGCCAGCATGTCTGAGCTCATGTATTATGACTTTCTGTTGCCATCTACGGCTCATTTCACAAGATTTATTTAACACAATATAAATATCTTCATAAATGTCTGGGTTGACACCCTCACTATGGAAAACAAAAGAAGTGCAACCCGTGCAATAATCTCATAAACAACACTGATAAAAAGTAGTTTTATGCACACCAATTCAAGTAATAAAAAATACATATTTATTTGTTTTTGTTTGTTTGTTTGTTTAAGAAATTACTACTTTTAATCAGCAACGACACACATTAATGAATTTCAATTAATTAAACCTGAAAAAAAAAATTGCATCACAGTTTCCAATAAACTATTAAGCATTACAACACTGATAAGAAATGTGAGAACAGGGGTAATGATGCTGAAAATTCAGTTTTGCATCAAAATAATAAATGACATTTTAAAATATAATACAATAGAAAACAGTTTGTTTTAATTGTAATAATATTTCACAATATTCAAATTTTTACTGTATTTTTTTGGCAAATAAATACAGACTTGGTGAGCAGAAAAGAACGGTAGTGTGTGTTATACATGTATAAGGCATTATGGTTAAATGAACCAATTTTGACATTATTCATCTTTAATATAATTTTGAGAACTCTGAGATATTAGACAGAGATACGGAGATACGGTGTTATGATACAGTTGGACGTCACTTCATGGAAGTGAAGAATCTTGTCAATGCAATGAATGTTGATAGTTTGAGTCTGTTCTCAGCCGACAGACTGAGATGCACTGCTGGGCTTTTTCTTCTCAGACATGTCCTTCAAATCTGTAAAAAGAAGGAAAAACATTGTTTCCAAATGTGACAAAACATCTACAAGTGTCGACCAAAATCAGTGTGGGAAAGTCTGAAATATAAACATTCCCGTCTGGTTTACAGAAATGAGGCTGTATCTCTGTTTCATTAAAGTTTTTTGGCTGCACTACTTTGAAAATGATTTAAAAATAAAAATCCATTTTCTGTGAGAAGCTTAGAAGTGGAGATGCTGGAGAGTGGGATAATGTGTCTGGTGTTTCCGGTGGCTGTGATATGTTGTCCTGGCTTCCCTGGCTGTTTTCCAGAAAGTCGTCCTTGGGTGCCAAGTCTTGGAGCTGTTGTAGTACGTCACAGTCTGTCTGTGATGAGCTCTGTGGGCAGGGCTCAGCCGGGATAGTTTCCATGAGCAGTGCTTGTTTTGGCTGCGTGGGGTTATCAGTGTCCTTGTGGGATGTGTTAACCACATGTCAAGTCCTGTGGTCACTCATACTCTGTCCAGGTGTGTGTGTGCCGTTCAGGTTGAGTGGTTTGGCACACACTACTGAAGGATGATGGAGGGAGAAGTAGATATTGTCCTTTATTTCCAGTTCAAACAGTTGTCTATGGCCCCAGAAAAGATTGAAATTGTCGATGAAGTTGACTCCTTTTATACTGCAGGTTGTTTGTAGCCATGTATTCAACCCAAGCAACCGTGAAAACATGTCAGTTCCCCTTCCTGGGTGTGGTCCACTGATGAACGACTGAACTTTGAGTCTTCGAAGTTTTTCAAAGAGTTCACTAAAATCCTTCTTAAGGAGTTCTGACTGCTCTTTCCGAATATCATTCTTCCTTACTCCTGGTTCACTCAAGTTATTTATTTATTTATTTCCATTTATTCTCATCTTGTCTACAGCTTTTGCAAAGCAATTGTAATACAGTGCATTTGTGAGCAATTAGAACCTCAACTCACCTGAGCGTCACAGTTCATTTTCACTGTATGCAAAAAAATGGCCAGGACAAATGATTTAAAGCTTTTCTATGGAAAAAAATGTCATGGAGGTTTGGAACAACATAGGATCGAGTGAATGATGATGGAATGTACTTTTTCTGTGAACAATCACTTCAAATGTCTTGATTGATCACCCACACTTAAAAAAAAACAAACAAAAAAAAACATTTAGGCCTAAATTGTTTTATGTAATTGAATTGCATTTAACAATCGCATGTGCATTACAACATTTTAAACTAAACAAACTAATAAACTTAATGCGATGCATATTTGCATATTTGTCAGTCATACAGAAATGAAACAGGTCAGATTTCTGCACTTAAAAATAAATAAATAGTTAATTATTTACTATTTGCATCTATTTCATTGTAATGAAATAATCACATTTTTAATGCATTCATTCAAATAGCTTAGAATCATTTACATTACATTTAGTCATTTAGCAGATGCTTTTATCCAAATCGACTTACAAATGAGGACAATAAAAGCAGTCAAAACTAACAAAAGAGCAACAATATATAAGTGCAAATGACAAGTCTCGGTTAGCCTAACGCAGTACACATAGCAAGGTGTATGTATATATGAAGTGACATGTGACGTGACATGTGGCCAAGTATGGTGACCCATACTCGGAATTAGTGCTCTGCATTTACCCATCCAAAGTGCACACACACAGCAGTGAACACACTATATCCAATATATATATATTATACACACACATATATACACACACACATATACACACAAACACACACACACACACACAAAGAAAAACAAGTAGATAGAATAGAAAAAATAGATAGCTATTTTTTTTTTTATAAAAAAAGAAGATATAGATAAATCAGCAGCAGAATCAGCATGAATCTGCTCATTGTGAAAAATGCATTCAGTTAAAAGTACGAACATGGATAAAATATGGAACAAGCAATATTCAATGTACGAGATCGAAGCTAATTGGATTTATTGATGATAAATATATAAACCTGGTTATTGTGTATTTAAAATACTTTCAGTTAATTCGTAATTTTAAGGAAATCTGGCTCGTTTCATTTATGTATGACTGACAAATATGTATGTGTCACATTAAATGTATTAGGTTATGTTAAATCTTTCTAAAGTTGCCAGTAAATCAAAGCTTAGTTGAATATGCCCCCCCACCCAAGAAAATACTATTGCAGTTGTTATACTTAAAAATTTCCAGTTTAATTCAATGTGTTATACTTGCCATTTTTGTACTTGTTTGTGAAATTTACTAGCAATTTCTGAGTGATTTTTTTTTCCAGTATGGGTGGAAATTTTAAATGCAATTCAAAGACATAATATATTTTTGAGTGCATTATGGGATCTGAACCTGCAAACAAGAGTCTCCAATACTTGTGTAGATACAACATACTCACACTGAAGCACCGTCTTGTAGACTAGAGTGTATCCGAACTCTTTGTTCGTGTTCAGATCCACAGTGAAAAGGAAGCGCAGTTCGAGCGGGAGCTGTGATCTGGGCATGTTTACTACAGCCGGGATGATCCTCTGTGACATGGGCCCTTCAGACAGGACCTGGTGCATCTGATACGAGCACCAGTCATCCTTCACAAAGTTTGGAGTGACGAGTAACAGCCAGCAGTGACTGTCCTGCACGGCCTGCAGCAGCTCAGTGGACACAGCGCCTCCTGCGGGACAGTCCCGCTCCTGCAGGTAACAGCGCAGGCCGTTAGACGGGGCTTCTAGGAAAGAGGCCATACTCTGTGCTAGATCACTGTCCTCATCGTTGTGACACACAAAAACGTCATATCTGAGAGAGGAGCAGAAGGGGGAGGAGAGCACGGAGGGCAGAGGCTGATCTGAGGCCGATGGCTTGGCTGATATGGAGGATTTCAGGGAGGAAGAGGAGGAGGAAGAGGAGCACACCGAGCTGCTGGTGTTGGAGTGTCCGGGGGAGCACGTCTGAGAACATTTACATGGTTTAACTTGGTCCGAATCATTCCTTTGTTTTCCAAAGTGCTGACGAAACCAGCCTGATGATGCAAAGATATGTAATAATACACAGTTATAGAGATAATGTAATATTCAAGTGATACAAAGAAGCATCCATTGCATAAATAGACACATTTTAATGGGACAAAGATTAAAGCACTTCAACAAAACTTGGTTTCATGTATTTTAAATAAACTATTAAAATAAATTGTTATACTATATATATATATATATATATATATATTTAGTCATTTAGCAGACGCTTTTATCCAAAGCGACTTACAAATGAGGATGCATCATGAAACTGCAACAGAGACTTACCCATAATGCTGCTGACGTGGTTTTCCTCCATTCTTCTCCATCCTTCCAAGGATATAAACTACAACAGGCACATACGCAGACAATGTTTAAAAATAAGCACTGTATATCACACTCTACATATCAAACTGTATACACACAAGTAACTTTCATACAACAGAAAAAAAAAAAAACACTGCATGCACACTGTCATCAGCTCAAAGTTAATATCAGTTCCACTTTTCCCTGGATCACTTTCAGTTTTTATGTCTGGATATTAGTACATTCGTGCTTATTATGAAGTAGACTGCAAGCTAATATCATAATTCTATCATATTATTCAAAGCATGATTAAGACAGCAAATGCTGTATAGAGTGAGACGATCAGTACTTACAGTTGTTTTAAGTTGAAAAGAGAGTGCAGGTCGTCTGAGGGCACTGCTGCAGTGCAAAAGATCAGCATGAGATGTTTGAGGAAGTCCATGCGATCGGAAGCGATGTGTCATTATGCAAACCAACATAACTTATGGCCATTCTTACCAAATAATGATAATAAAAGAATAGGAAGACAGTAGAATAAGAGGAAGTCAAGACAGAATGGGTGTAGCTTTGAGTTGCATTTGGATTTACTATTGACAGTCTGGTCAATGCATGGTTTTAGATGTGATATATTACAGAATATTACAACTAAAGGGGTAGCAGTTTCCATTGACATTTTGTCTGTCTGGTTTGCTGGGATTCCCCTCAGTTACGAGAAATGGGTGCGGTCGATATTTCAAACACACACGAGTCTAGAAATGATTCAACTGTGGGAAGATTTTGCATGTTCCAGTTGCTAAATTAATGTGCTCTCAAAATTAATTTATAAATAATCGTTTTAATGTTATGCCATGGTAGATAACCTATGTTTTTGCTCTAATGCCATCATTTTAAGATGTTAGGATGTCTGGTTTGGTGATTTTGCTTAAAACGAATTCGAAATTCACTTTTATTGTCAATGGTTAATTCAGGAAACAAGAACAAAATTGACACTGAAATACAGAAAAGGCTAAAAAAAAATTGAGCATATAGATCTTGATCAAGGCAGATTTTAACTAGACAAAAATAATTATACAGTGTGAATTCAGCATAGGCTAGTTAAAACCATTTGGCACAAGCAAATCTGCTGGGATGAATTTATTTGATAAAAAATACAGTAAACTAGTCATACTGGGAAATATTACAACTTAAAAGAACAGTTTGCTATTTTGATATAGGCCTATTTAATTTATTCCTGTGATGAATGACAACGCTGAATTTTCAGCAGTCCGTGTCACATGATCCTTCAGCAATCACTCCAAAATTCTGATTTGCTGCTCAAATATTATTGGTGCTCAATTATCATTAAGGGTTCTTATTACTGTCATAGTTTGTTTGTTTGTTTTTAAATATTTATTTTTGGCATTAGGCCTTTATTACGATAGGACAGATCAGAACTGACAGAAAGCAAAGTGGGAGAGAGATGTGGGGGGATTTGAACTCGGGACGCTCGTAGCGCAATGACGCTGTATGTCGGCGTGCTGCGCACAAAGCTATCGGCGCCAACATTACGGTAGAGTGGGGGGAAACGCCCACCTTAAGGACTGTGCTTTTTCTTTCTTTCTGTGAAACAAAAGTTAAATGTGTTCAGAAAAGGTATCATAGTTTTAGTGACGATGACATCAATTATAAACCAAGTATGAAAAATGTCCAGAGTTTTCATGATATTAGATTTTTTTTTAATGAAAAAATTAATTCGTACCCAAGGGAACGTAAAATGTTAATAAAATTATTAAATAATAATATAATAGCTAACTAATTATGAATTACAAAATGATAATAGCCGATTTGAAAAACAAAATGTTAGCTGATGCTAACTGGCAAGCTAACTAGCTACCTGATGCTAACTTGAGGTAATTTTTAAATATAAAGTCCAAATATTTTTATTCAACCACCTAGTTAGAATACATTAGATGGAAAAACAAAGGATTTGATGTTCAGAACAGAGTAGCAGTAATTAAGCAATGCCCCCTAGGTGCGTTTTACCCCACAGACTGTTTGAATATATATATATATATATATATATATATAAAATTATATTTTTTCTTAAATAACACGTACTCCCTATCTACAGGCCTTATTATTCTCATACCATATATAACTGTGATGTTTTACAAAACAACAGGCTTTTTTTTCTTCTTACTGCTGAAAATCAGATCATTTACTGTGAAATGCGTTTTCTCTCCGGTACATCACCAGTGTAAGCTTCATCGTGAAAACTTCTACTCTTCTCAACGTAGTCCATAATTACAATGAAGATGTATCTCGACTTTATCTTGTGGTTATTTTGGGAGAGAACGGAGGGCAGAGGCTGATCTGAGGCCGATGGCTTGGCTGATATGGAGGATTTCAGGGAGGAAGAGGAGGAGGAAGAGGAGCACACCGAGCTGCTGGTGTTGGAGTGTCCGGGGGAGCACGTCTGAGAACATTTACATGGTTTAACTTGGTCCGAATCATTCCTTTGTTTTCCAAAGTGCTGACGAAACCAGCCTGATGATGCAAAGATATGTAATAATACACAGTTATAGAGATAATGTAATATTCAAGTGATACAAAGAAGCATCCATTGCATAAATAGACACATTTTAATGGGACAAAGATTAAAGCACTTCAACAAAACTTGGTTTCATGTATTTTAAATAAACTATTAAAATAAATTGTTATACTATATATATATATATATATATATATATTTAGTCATTTAGCAGACGCTTTTATCCAAAGCGACTTACAAATGAGGATGCATCATGAAACTGCAACAGAGACTTACCCATAATGCTGCTGACGTGGTTTTCCTCCATTCTTCTCCATCCTTCCAAGGATATAAACTACAACAGGCACATACGCAGACAATGTTTAAAAATAAGCACTGTATATCACACTCTACATATCAAACTGTATACACACAAGTAACTTTCATACAACAGAAAAAAAAAAAAACACTGCATGCACACTGTCATCAGCTCAAAGTTAATATCAGTTCCACTTTTCCCTGGATCACTTTCAGTTTTTATGTCTGGATATTAGTACATTCGTGCTTATTATGAAGTAGACTGCAAGCTAATATCATAATTCTATCATATTATTCAAAGCATGATTAAGACAGCAAATGCTGTATAGAGTGAGACGATCAGTACTTACAGTTGTTTTAAGTTGAAAAGAGAGTGCAGGTCGTCTGAGGGCACTGCTGCAGTGCAAAAGATCAGCATGAGATGTTTGAGGAAGTCCATGCGATCGGAAGCGATGTGTCATTATGCAAACCAACATAACTTATGGCCATTCTTACCAAATAATGATAATAAAAGAATAGGAAGACAGTAGAATAAGAGGAAGTCAAGACAGAATGGGTGTAGCTTTGAGTTGCATTTGGATTTACTATTGACAGTCTGGTCAATGCATGGTTTTAGATGTGATATATTACAGAATATTACACTAAAGGGGTAGCAGTTTCCATTGACATTTTGTCTGTCTGGTTTGCTGGGATTCCCCTCAGTTACGAGAAATGGGTGCGGTCGATATTTCAAACACACACGAGTCTAGAAATGATTCAACTGTGGGAAGATTTTGCATGTTCCAGTTGCTAAATTAATGTGCTCTCAAAATTAATTTATAAATAATCGTTTTAATGTTATGCCATGGTAGATAACCTATGTTTTTGCTCTAATGCCATCATTTTAAGATGTTAGGATGTCTGGTTTGGTGATTTTGCTTAAAACGAATTCGAAATTCACTTTTATTGTCAATGGTTAATTCAGGAAACAAGAACAAAATTGACACTGAAATACAGAAAAGGCTAAAAAAAAATTGAGCATATAGATCTTGATCAAGGCAGATTTTAACTAGACAAAAATAATTATACAGTGTGAATTCAGCATAGGCTAGTTAAAACCATTTGGCACAAGCAAATCTGCTGGGATGAATTTATTTGATAAAAAATACAGTAAACTAGTCATACTGGGAAATATTACAACTTAAAAGAACAGTTTGCTATTTTGATATAGGCCTATTTAATTTATTCCTGTGATGAATGACAACGCTGAATTTTCAGCAGTCCGTGTCACATGATCCTTCAGCAATCACTCCAAAATTCTGATTTGCTGCTCAAATATTATTGGTGCTCAATTATCATTAAGGGTTCTTATTACTGTCATAGTTTGTTTGTTTGTTTTTAAATATTTATTTTTGGCATTAGGCCTTTATTACGATAGGACAGATCAGAACTGACAGAAAGCAAAGTGGGAGAGAGATGGGGGGGGATTTGAACTCGGGACGCTCGTAGCGCAATGACGCTGTATGTCGGCGTGCTGCGCTATCGGCGATCGGCGCCAACATTACGGTAGAGTGGGGGGAAACGCCCACCTTAAGGACTGTGCTTTTTTCTGTGAAACGTGAAACAAAAGTTAAATGTGTTCAGAAAAGGTATCATAGTTTTAGTGACGATGACATCAATTATAAACCAAGTATGAAAAATGTCCAGAGTTTTCATGATATTAGATTTTTTTTTAATGAAAAAATTAATTCGTACCCAAGGGAACGTAAAATGTTAATAAAATTATTAAATAATAATATAATAGCTAACTAATTATGAATTACAAAATGATAATAGCCGATTTGAAAAACAAAATGTTAGCTGATGCTAACTGGCAAGCTAACTAGCTACCTGATGCTAACTTGAGGTAATTTTTAAATATAAAGTCCAAATATTTTTATTCAACCACCTAGTTAGAATACATTAGATGGAAAAACAAAGGATTTGATGTTCAGAACAGAGTAGCAGTAATTAAGCAATGCCCCCTAGGTGCGTTTTACCCCACAGACTGTTTGAATATATATATATATATATATATATAAAATTATATTTTTTCTTAAATAACACGTACTCCCTATCTACAGGCCTTATTATTCTCATACCATATATAACTGTGATGTTTTACAAAACAACAGGCTTTTTTTTCTTCTTACTGCTGAAAATCAGATCATTTACTGTGAAATGCGTTTTCTCTCCGGTACATCACCAGTGTAAGCTTCATCGTGAAAACTTCTACTCTTCTCAACGTAGTCCATAATTACAATGAAGATGTATCTCGACTTTATCTTGTGGTTATTTTGGGAAAAACAGTAGGGGGCGTTTTCCTCCACTCTAAACTGTCTACTGTTATTATTGAAAACAGTTTTGCAACTCAATATTTTTGTGAAAACTGTGATGCATTTTTTTTCAGGATACTCTGATGAACAGAAAGTTCAAAAGAACAGCATTTTTAAGAATATTTTTTTTTAGCATGAAATGTCCTTGCTGTCACTTTTAATCAATATAACGCATCTTTGCTGAATGACTTCTTTTTACCTTGCTTGATGATTTTTATTTTGAAATTATAAACGCTCGTGTTGAATGAGGTACACAGGAGGAGCGTTCGTGATTTAAGCAGGCGTTTTAACGGAGCAGTATTAAGACTCCAGTGAGCGTCCTGCGGCTGCCCAGAGGACCGGAGCCCAACAGCCGCGGATTCGACCCGAGCTCCCCCCGCTTCACCACTCTGCGCTCCTCCTCTGCTGATGAAGAGCAGCAGCGGCTGCGCTCGGAGCTGCGCCAGAGGTTTCTGTGGACTCTCTCACTGATGAAGGACGAGCTGGTCCAGTTCGACATGCACGAGAGAGTGCGCATGCGCGAGGTTCGGCGCCTCGGACCTCGACGTGCAGCGCTTCCAGGTTTCTGATCTGGAGACTCCTCTGGGGGTCCAAAGAGAGGCGCTCCTGAGGAGCCAAGATGTGCTTGCATGCTCGTTTGAACTGTGAGAGCCATGCTGATCCTCACCGCAAGAGCGCGCCACAAGAGTTGCGATTAAAGTTGAGTGGGATCAAAGAACGACATTTCTCGTTGCTTTCATTGTTGTTCATGCTGCTGTTTGTAATAAACCTTTGCAATGTTGAGAACTGTGTTCTGAGACGTTCTTTTTTTCCAATCAAAGTGTCCTTCATAATTTACAAACACTCTTAAAAATAAAGGTTCTAAAGGGTTTTTTTTTTGTTTGCAATGATGTCGCAAAACATTTTTTGGTTCCTTTCAGTGAACAGTTCTTAAACATTTTGTTTTTCTTAGTGTGAAGGACATTCTAATAATCTGAAGAACCTTCTTTTTATAAGAACTTTTTGTGCAATGGAAAGTCTCCATGGGTGTTAAAGATTCTTCGTCAATGCCGATAGTAGAGCCTTAATTTTTAAGAGTCTACCAATAATTAAACTAATCCAAACTGCACATGAATTACATTACAAAAAATTGCATCATAAATGCCTTGCTACTAATTCTGAAGCCACAGGAAAATGACATCATGACAATGCTGATTTACTAATGAATCCTCGAGAATGCATGAGCTCTTAGGTCAAAGCCAACAGATGCACTCTAAAAAATGCTGGGTTAAATACAACCCAGTGCTGGGTAAAATAGGGACAAACCCAGCAATTGGGCTGTTTTGACCCAGCGGTTGAGTTAAATGTTTAACCCAACCTTCTGGGTAGTAACCCAACCGCTGGGTCAAAACAACCCAATTGCTGGGTTTGT